AAAGCTGCAGCAACCAAGGCACATGCCCTTGACCGGAATCGAACCTGGGACCTTTCAGTCCGCAGGCCGACGCTCTATCCACTGAGCCACACCGGTTTCGGCTCCACACAGATTCTTAATCACCTAAGAATACCTGAGCAAGGGCCAGCAAGACCTTACTGGATACCACTGGAACCCCAATGTCTTCAAAGACACAGGCACCTTGCTCAGGGCAAACGCACTTCTGGGTGCCCCGCCCTTCACAAAGAACTCTTTTAGTTTGCATGACCACACTGACACCTCTCATCACCCATCTCTGGGAATCTCAGCACCCATCTGCCACTCTGGATTTGGGGACCTGCAGCAACTATCATCATCCCATTGGCTATTCAAGTTGGGAAAGCAAGTGTCCTTTCTCTTTTGGAGCTAAAAAGAGTTCAGTCTCTTGTTTAACCAGCAAAGATTTTGTTCAAACTCTCAGGATGCAATCTAATAACCCAAAATTAAAAGCAACCGTCCATTCTTCTTTTCCTTTCCCCCTCTCCCTCTCTCCCTCCCTCCATCCCTCCCTTCCATTCTCACTGAAAAGCAATGGAAAACATATCCTCAGGTGAGGATTAAAAAAAAAAAAAAAGACCTGGTAGAGAGAATACCTGCGTTTAAACCCCAGGGCTACTATTTCTGCAAGTTACATGACCTCTCTGAGCTGCAGCTTCTTCATCTGTCAAATGGGGTAAGTCAGTGCCACCTGCAGAGGAAAACCTTCGCACACAGCCCAGCACGTGTGCACACACAGCCATCGTTTCTCTACCATTACCTATTAGCATAGTGCTTTCATTCATTAACCCAACACATACTTGTATGTGTACTATGTGTCAGACACTCTTCTAGATGTTGGGGACATAGCAGCTGACAAAACAGACACAGATCCCTGCCTCAGGGAGCAGGCATTCTAGTGTCTGGAAGTGGGAGACAAACATAAAAAACAAACAAACAAAAAAAAACCCCAAACACATAAAATATAAACATACCTGATAATGATACATGCCATGGGAAATGTAAAGCTTTGCACACAGTGAGTACTCAGATTTTGAGTCGTTTTGTCTCCCCTAGGCTCCCTTTGTCACACTTTCTGTTCCAAGATTCCCTTTCCAATGCGATTAAATAATGTCTGTGGCGCCTGGATTCTCAATATGGGCCGTGGATCCGGGTGTGTGATTGCAAAGGGCAGCAGCGTGGAAGAACCAAGGCCAGTGGTCACGGGACATGTGTACCTATGACATGGGAAACACCACAGTGTTTTGACGTGAGTTTTCTTCCGGATGATCACACTGTTGTACTCTAAAGTTTGCACTCACTGGCGATCAATATCTCCGCTCTGTGAAGTTCAGGACAGTAAACAGCTCTGGGGCACCGTGGGGAGAGGGGTTGGAGGCGCTGACGGGCAGTCCTGTGACCCCCGTGCGCGCGCCTGCAGCCGAGCCTCCTGTCCTAGACCTTTCTGGCAGCTGCTGCAGGAACCTTGCACCGTGCTTATCTTTCCTCAGCTCCCTCCTGGACACTTTGACGTGGCACCTCAAAACCACTAGAACCTCAACTTGGAGCTCACAAAGACAACACTAGTGTAAGCAAACATTAGTTTGTAAATAATCCGAAGACCAACGTCCCGGGGTCAAATGTATGAGACCAGGCCTTGCATAAATCAGAATATGGGGAACTACGATTTTTTTTGTAAGGAGAAAAAACTTAGAACATCACCAGCACTATGATAAATCTAGGGTGTTTTTGTGAGATGTTAAATTTGTGGAAGTTCATTTATTACTGCAATATTCCCACATTCAAGCATATTTATTCATTTACACAAATTTTAAACTCTCATACTATATATTCATATTTAATAATTTTAGTTTTCCATTATTGTGAGGGTTAAAACTCCTCAACACAGATATTTTGCTATAAACTGGCATTGGGTTTATTTTAACACTGCTTACTTTGTGAGTATCAGTTAGCCTTAAGTTTATTAAAATTTTTTCCAAATATAAAAATTTCCAAAAGAACCATAAAACAAATCCATGAGTTGCTCTACACGATAGTCACTTCCCAAATAGTCCCCAGTGATTTGTCTCCTGCCCTTCCTGCTCTTCCTGAAGCCTGTGTAACCAATAGGAGATTGTGGCCATGACGGTGGGACTGCTGAGGCGAGGCGATGGAAGACATGAGGGTTCCCTTTCTCTCTCCGGGACCACTTGCTTTGGGGAAGCCATTCCCCATGTTGCGAGAACAGTCAAGCAGCTGTGGAGCAAGCAGCACCGGGTTAGCCTCCTTGAAGTGGATCTAAGCCTTCAGATGACTGTAGGCTCCTCCACTCCAGCCTCAGGAGAAACTGAGTCAGAACCACCCAACTAAGTCACTCCCAAGTTCCTAGCACTCAGAAGCTGTGTAAAATATTAAATGTTTATTATTCTTTTACACTACCAAATTTGAGTAACTGGAATGTGGGAAACTTGGAGGAAGTGGAATAATAAGGAAATGAATGCTATATATTTCAATTATATAATGAAAAATAATTTCCCCCCAATCAATACATGGCTTTTATTGCATCTTTAAAATATCACAAATAAATGTGAGAAATCTTCCAACATCTTGCTGCTTCTGTAGCTGGATAGCTTAAACCTTATTCATTAGCCTACTGAACTGTTCCTTTTTCAGAAGCATAGATACCACCCACACATGTTCTGATATCCTTGTTTTTAACTGTTGTGACTTGATGAATAAAAGCAGCTGAATTTGATACAAATTCAACATCATTTCCTTCAAGAATTAACTCATTTTGGGGGGTTTGAAATACTGAACAAGCAATGCCTAACCTCATCTAAACCCTGCAGATGTATTTTCACCCAAGAAATTTCAGATTATAGCAAGAGAAAATGTTCTCCTGAATGATGACATTGATGGGGAAGTGAGCACACACCCATCTTGTAAGGAAAGCCCAGTGTAACTTCTTGATCATGTTATATACGTGACTGCAGATGGTGCGCAGGTAGCCAGTTCCTTTCTTTTTCCCCATCATTTGTCAACCCGAAGCCTCTTGCCCTCCCCCCCCCGAGATTGAGTTCTACACTGTGTGTAGATGTGACTGAAGTCCCTTTACAGGGTGCCTCTGGGGCCCTTTGTAATAACTGTGGGTCCCTTTAGAGTGATGTCGACATTTGCTGGGATGTCAATAGTCTGACGCTGAGAATGGTCCTCATCCTCACAGTAAATGTGGCAAAGAGCTAATTAAAAAGAAATTTAAAGGCAAAAATTGAAATCAACCAACATGTCCTTCAGTAGGTGAATGGGTAGATAGATTGTGGCATGTCCACACAATGGAATATTACTCAGCAATTTAAAAAATGAGCTATCAATCCACAAAAAGGAATGGAGGAACCATATTGCTAAGTGAAAGAAGCCAATTTGAAAAGGCTACATACTGTATGATTCCAATGACATTCTTGAAAAGATAAAACTATGGAGACAGTAAAAAGGATTAGGGGGAGGGATGAGTAAGCAGAGCACAGGGGATTTTTAGGATAGTGAAACTATTCTGTATGATACTATGATGTCAAAGTTAATAGAACACATAACACAGAGAATGAAACCTAATTTAAAGTATGGCCTTTAGTTAATAATAATGAGTCAATATTGGCTTGTCAGTTGTAACAAATGTGTCACATTAATGCCAGATGTTAATAACTGGGGAAACAGGGTGGGGAGAGGAGGCAGGAAACTCTACTTTCCAATAAATTTTTCTGTGATCCTAAAACAGCTCTAAAAAATAAAGTCTATAAATTATTTTTAAAATAAAATAAATTTAAAAAGATGAATAAAGATAAATAGACAATCATAGATATCACATCTAATTTGCCAGGGAGCCAAATCTGGGTGAGCTAGGATAGCAACTTCTGTGAATAAGGTGGGAAGATTGATTTATTTGTCACCCTTATTTCTACCAATGTTATTTTCCAGCCAGCATACAGGATAAAAGTTCCAAAACCTTGACTTTGGAATGAAGAATATTCTAAAACTGGATTCCTTCTAGGCATTTATTATTAAAACATGCCCCCAAAAGCCAAAGATTGAGAATGAGCTGTAATAACATTCCAGGAGGCTCCAGGCCGGAAAGCACAGCCTTCCCATCATCAGAAGATTACCAGGGCAGGTGTCACCTAGACAGGTCGGGCAGTAATAAAGAGGTTGGCCCAGTCGTGGGATATGGCTCCCCCATCATGGTCCACAGTGGTGGGAGGAAACGGCATGCAATCATGTCGCTCGGTCACAGAACAGATACTGCTGTGGGCTGGACACTGCCGGTGCTGGGGAACAAGGTGAGCCAACCCAAATTCCCAGGAATGTAGATCTTATATTCTGATGGGGCTCAGATCATGTCCAAACAGGCAAGTGGGTAACATAATGTCCTCTGAGGAAGATAATTGTTATGAGAAAAATAAAGCAGGGGAAAGAAGTGTAGAGCATAGATTGAGGTAGGGCGCCATGCTGGAAAACGGGTCAGGGAAGGCCTGTAGACTAGAAACAGAAGTGGATTAATGTGCCTCCTAGGGACCCCAGTCTCCCCAGAATAGCACCTTGTCCTCCCTCGGGGATACAAACCCGGAGAGCCAGCATCAGCACCTTCCACTGCACTGAGACGTCTCATGGGGTCAAGACTCATGAGCCTCTTTAAATGATGCCATTCTAAGTGCCATCCAGAAAAACATCTCAGCTTGCTACCCAGCTTACCCCATCTCAAAAGTCCTACTCAGGCTGAGTTTATATTGAAGGGAAATGCCCACAGAGGTTTCTCCTGTGAGTGTTGAGAAGGAAGACAGAGAGACAGGAGTGAACTCATCGGAGGCTGGTGTATGAGCAAGCAGGTCCCGAGTCCTGAGCGGCCATGCCACCCTCCTCCGTGGTTCTCCTGACCACGGGACACCAACCCCTACATCAACCACTTCTTACCACCTGCATTCTGTTTCTCTATTTCTGACACAAAAGGTTTACATTTCATCCATTTAAACTTTGTTATGTAATAAAAAGAAGGGGAATTTATTTCTCCAACTTTAAAAAATCAACTTTATACATTTTGTAAAGTATATGTCCAATAACTATGCTATATACCTGAAACTAATAAAAATAATATTTAGTATAAACTATACTAGAGAAATAAAAATAATCAACTTTCTGAGTATGATTTATAGGAGATGTGTGTGTATTTTATCCATGTGTTTGTAGCAGGACAGGGGCTGTCTGCACCGTCCTCAGCTGCCACGTTGCTGGAAGTTTCCAAGTGAACACTGTGCCTCACAGCTGAAATGAAGGGTCACAGGGTCAGGTATGCACAGCACTCGCCCAGGGAACCAGCTCGTCCCCGCTGGTTTGACCGGGACTTGCCTGGTGTCAGCACTGGAAGCTCCGAGTCCTGAGAATCTCCTCAGGCTCAACAACCAGACGGCTGGCTGCCTCACCTGAGTGGCCTCTGTGTTATACTTTTTGTATTTTGGTAAATAAGGCAAAACTATAGCTATGGTTATCACTAAAGTTACTTAAGAGGACAAAAATTTTAAACAAGTGAATTTTACCCAGTGAAATGCTTTGAAAAGAGTCTGGAAGTTCATCAATTAAACATAAAGTTGCCATATGACTCAGCAGTTCTATTCCTAGTTATCTATGTACCCAAGAAAAATGAAAACATATGTCTACACAAAAACTTGTACACCCATGTCATACAGTCACAATAGCTAAAATGTGGAAGCAATCCCTTGTCCATCAACAGATGAATGGATAAACAAAGTGTGATATATTCATCTAATGGTTTATTATTTGGCCATAGAAATAAATTTTTGACATGCTACAACTTGGATGAGCCTTGAAAATATTATGCTAAATGAAAGAAGCCCAACAAAAAAGACCACAAATTTAATATAGGCATCTGTATTGAGTATAATTCACATACCATTCGATTCACCCAGTTAAAATGTAAAATCCAATGTTTTAAGTATATTCATAGATATGTGCAACCATCACCATAGTTGATTTTAGAGTATTTTCATCACTTCAAAAACAAAAACAAACTCTTACCCTTTAGCTATATTAATGAACACACATTTGACCTGTTTAAGCCTGGAAAGTTAAAACTTTGGGACACAACTAATATTTCTATCTTTGTCTCATTTGTGTTTCAAATAGAATAAACTCTTTTTT